TAATTATTTGGAGATTAATTTAAAATTTGTGATTCATGATAATAAAATTGTGCTTATTATTCTAAAAATATAATTATATTCTTATAAAAAGAATTTAATTTAAAATACCTTATTGATCAAAATAATTTGTGATACAAGAAAATATGTTCATAATATAGTACATGCACTAACAAAAACATATAATATGGCTAAATATTTTAGTTTTTAAAAAAGTTAAATGAATTTTGAGCTTTAAAGAATAATTTGGATTTTAAAATAATAAAAATTTCAAGTATTAAAATAAACAAAAAGTAAAAATAAAAAATTTCAAGTATTAAATGTATCATAATTTTTTAATAAAGTTTTGTTAATCTCATTCTTTAAGATGTAGTTTAAGCATTCACAAATAAATTTTTTTATAAAAAAAATATATAATTATTATATTAAAGTTATAAAAATATTATAAATATTTTTTTTAATAAAATTTTACTATTATTAACTGTTTATCTTCGGTTTTTAGAATGTTTCTTTTTATTAACTATTTATCTTCGGTCTTTAGAGTACTGTTTCTTTCCATAATCTAAATATAATCTTAAAAAATAGATCAACAAAAGATAGAATATGAGATCCATAGAATTTTGGAAAGATAAAAAGAAAAAAAACAACTTACAAAATGTTCAAACCTTTACCTATCAAGAAGTCTGGCTAAAACTTGTTTATATTTGCAACACGTTAATGTAAGTTCACTAAAAAACAAAACATGTTAGCAAAATAGAAGCAATTATTCTTCTATTGGTTTCACACTGTTGGTCACGTGGAAGCAATTCAAAACCATATTGAATGATTGAAACGGGAATCTCAAATCCATATTCAAAGAAATTTCAAAACCAATTTAATATACCTCAAATCAATCAATATTATAAGTATTAAATGCTAATAAATTCATAAACGAAAATGGAATCAGGAAGCAATATGTTGCAAGATACTCAAATTTGATCGATATCAGCTTAAAAGTTTATATTAATTATCTAAAAATAACATAATCTTATTAAAATAAATGATAAATTTTTATTAATATAAACTTTTAAAATATTTATTTTACTTTTAATATAATTAATAAGGACTTTCATAATAAAAACATCACTTTTAAATATCATCAAATACGTTGATGAACTATACATGATTGTTTTACCCAACAAAAGGATACAAACATTGGAGCTCCATTTGTTACCATGTGTGCAATGATTTTCCCTTGCATTCTTAACCAATGTGTGTAGAAAGTTGTGATTGATGGCAGCAATGTAGTGCAGCTTTCGGTGGTGCGTAGTAGCCTTTACAAAGTGAAATGTGAGAAGTTAGCACTTTTAAAGAGATATAAGGGTAAATAGAGATCAAGAAAGTTGGGTATGGTTTCATTTTTTCATTGAAAAAATAAAATGGTTTGAGAATTTGCAAGTAAATTTTGGTACCATGGTGGAGATATTCTGTGGTGTTTATGCAAAAGTGGATGTTTGGTGAGACATTAATGGGTGAATTAATGTTTAGATGGATTGTGTAGTGTAATTCGTCTCCTTAATCATTACACTAAGCCTTTCTTGTCATTAAGTCAAAACTTTATCATAATGTTGCAAGATTAAGGACTCCTAGTGCAATTGTTCATGTTCCATATTGGTTCTTGTTTAGCAATGTTTTTAGAATTTGATGCATGGAAACGATGTATTTCTTAAACTTTTTGCAGTTTTATAATATGTTATGTGAAAAAGTTTATTAGATGTGGATTAATTTCATTTGTCATTTTGAAATGGATGGTAACCGTGGGAAAATTGAGAAGACAGAAAAATTTGAATTGAAGAGAAAATAAGAGCAGAAAAAAAATATTTTTTTTATCTTTAAAAGTCAACTTCTATCTCATCTATTATCTTTCAATTTTTCTCCAATTAAATAAAAGAAAATACATTGTCATCTATATTTTTTTTTTCTCTCCATCCTCTCATTTTTTATTTTTTATTTTCAGTTTCAATAATTGTTTGTCAATAGAAATGAATTAAGAGGACAAGTGGGTAGCACAGTTCCAAGCCCCACACACAGATGCCAAACAATTGGCTCAATGGAAAATCAAAGTTGATACTAAGGATATATGGCTTGGATTATTGGGTCATGTGATCCTCAAATTGTTAAGTAGATGTCATTAAGTAATCAAGGTGCAATCAAAGGAATCTATAGAAAAAATTTAGCTACTTCCTTCTAAGCGCCTTGTTTGAAAATTTGAATAGAGAAAGAAGAAAAAAATTTGATGGATGAGAAATAGAGATAAAAATTAACAAAAAAATTTCTAATTTAAAATATTTAAAAATATGAATTTTTAAAGTTTTGAAAAATTTACAAAAATCTCTTTCAATATTTAGAAACTCCGAACAAAAATTATTATCAAATAAACATTTTTTTCAAGTTTAACTTCTAATTAATAAAACCTAGATGTCCATGTATATATTTTGACTCATAAGAAGTATATGAGTTATTTATGTGTATATTAGGATTTAAGGAAGATAAACTAGTTATTTTAATTCAAAAAGGAAGAAGGATTTTGGTTTGATTTGAGTTGTAACATAATTGAGCATTTGAACTATAACAAAAGATAATACCATATTTTAGAACCAAAATCAAGTTGTTAAGAACATGTTTGTTTGTATTTTTTTTTTAAAAAAAATTAAAATAAAAAATTATTAAATAATTAAAACTTTATGCTACTACTTCTAAATTCATAAAATTATAATGTCAAATATATAAACTTTAATTTTAAGAATGTAAAAGTTTTATTTTAACTTTTAAAAATTATAAATACCAGTTATATTGATCAGTTTAGAGAAAGTATTGTGTCTTTAAATACTAAGATAATCAACATTTAAAATATTAAAGATAAATTCTGTGGTACCCATAAAACTTTTTAGATACCATATATAAAAAATTTTAATCAATAATATTTTGACATGTATTTAAATAATAAATTTAGTTAATAATAGATTATTATATTTATTACATTGAATAGTATTTAAGTTAAAACTAAATAAATTAAAATTTAAAAATAAAATAATAATAATAATAATATATAACAAATAATATAAATAATATAATTTTAAATAAATTATATATAATAATATTTTTTTAATTTATTACATGTCTCTTTTTTATTAATATAAATTTTTTAAATATAATACCCATAAAATAAATTTTAGGATACCATAACACATGATAATACAAGATTTTATTACTACTATTAAATGTCCCGCATTAAATGTATCAGAGATGGATTTGAAGTTTTATTCTAAGATTATATTGACTTGACATTTTGAAACTTATACTATTTTAAACAAAAAGTTAAAATAAGAGGTCTAAAAATTTGAAGTTATGTAATACTTTTATAAATTTTAAGTTTAAAAATTACTTTTTAACTAATTTCTTTTTCAGTAATATGTTATTGTTCTTTGAAAAGATATTTTTTTATAAATTTAATAATTTTATTTAATAAAAACAGTCTTGTTACAATATAACCAGAGTCTAATACCACAAGCACTAATAATCCCTCTAGAAAATCCCATGTAATGTCAACACTCACAAAAAAAAACCCATACTAAGAAATTTTTTTTGTCTAGGTTATTTTTTATAAAGTAAATAAATTTATTTAAAAAGTATTTAATATATTTTTAAATTTATTTTTAAAAAATATTTATCCCTTAAAAGAAAATAGAGAAACCGAAGTAAAAATAATATGAGATGCCATGATCCTATTAAAACAAACTTACACCAAATGGCTTCTTCCACTTCCGAGGTTACCCCACCCCTAAAGTCAAGTCATCATTGGGTTTAGCCCCCATTATTCCTCTTGGGTCAAGAACTTGCCATAATTGTCGATTTCAAACTTCAAAAACAAATTAGATTTATGCCACATATTTTTCTTGTACTTTCAGTTTCTGATAAGATAACCAGAAATTTAAAGAAAAGAAAATGTTAACCACTGTTCTTAAAAATATATTTTTATTGAAAAACATAAATATATTTGTTCATATAATTTTTAATAAAAATATTATATATTAATTTTTTAATCAGCATTTTAAAGCTATAAGTAAAAAAATTCATATGCAAAAGCTTTTATATTAAAAATTAATATATATCAATAATATTTTAAAAAAAAAGACTTAATTAAGTCTTTATTTCTTATAAAAGTTATACAACTCTATAAAATATTTTATTAAGATACACCCTTTCTTTTTGTATAAACAATTGTTCATTAGTCTTTTTGGCTAGCATGATTTAATCAAAAGTTGACACTGAGAAAAAAAAATTTATAAGCAACCTTTTAGGAACCACACTCTTAATTGAATTTTCTTAAAAATTTTGAAGCAACATTTTAAGATTCATGGGTCATTTCTCGCTCTCTCTTTTGTTTGAACAATTAATGTGGCAGAGAACGTGTGAAGAAGACGCAGAAGAAAATGTGTTACCGAAGCAAGGCCCATATCTAAATTATTGAGTTCCTTAATTTGAAACAAGACAAGGCTAATTTGGGTACCCAAAAAATTGGGGTCTGAATCCCCATGTGGTTATTAAAGTATGCTCCATCCAACGGTGCAGATTAAGGGCGCATGGTTAACGGGTAGGTTTCTTGTCTCCATTCACGTGTTGCTAGAGTTAACTATAGTTAAAAGTCATCTTGGTATGGCAAAGGATCTCAGTTTCTCCACTTTTTTTTGAATGGAAGACTTGTGGGAAAATTGGATTTCTTCTTTGGTAATGAGACACCAATCAAATATAAAAACTATATATTTTATTTTTTTTATTGTATGAATGTGATGAACTCTTTAGAGATAATCTCTTTTAACTTTTCCATTTGGTGTTTTCCCATTGTTTGTTATAGGAAATGGGTGATGACAATTCCATTGGCCAGTCTCATATTAACCCTTTTGATCAAGATAAGTTTCTCACTGGGATTGTTCAACAGCTGCCACCAAATTTCTCATCTCAAAGTGCTCAACACTCTTCCACCATGCAATATAATAATGTTTTTGCTACTACTAATAGTAGCCTATCATCTGAGGATGCAAGCTATGATGAGAAGCATGGTAAGAGTAATAGCTCAAACTCCATAATCTCTCAAGATGTTGCTTCACACAAACATTCAGCACCGTCTCTATCCACCTTCATTTTGTCGTTTGAAAACTCATCGGTGGAACCAGCTCTCCAAGATAGACCCAACAACTCCCCTAAACATTTTGGTGGGGATGCTACATGTTCTTCCATCATGTCTTCAAAAAGAACATTGGGTAACCATATCACTAAGCCCAAGGTCAAGCAAGGAAACAAGAAATTTAGAAGCTCATCAGAGATTCAAGATCACATATTGGCCGAGAGAAAAAGGAGGCAAGAACTCACTGAGAGGTTCATAGCACTTTCTGCCACCATACCCGGATTGAAGAAGGTTAGTTCCACTATTTCAATTTCAAAACCATGCCCATCAAATCATAGATTCTTGATCAATCTACAAGTGCTTCTATTTTTATTTTCCTTTCATCGTATCTCAATTTCTCCATTGCATTATTATCTTAATCCACAACATCAAAATTATGTGAGATTGTTCCATGATTATTTCAACATTTTGTATCAGCATGCAAGCAATCACCCGACAACCAATAGAACCGGTCCCTTGTCTGATGAATGAAATCGCTTGTCGTTAATGCATTTATTTAACCAGCATCTAATCAATCTGACACCCTAAACTTTAATGTGTGTGTACATGGCAAATGTTTTCACACTCGGTTGTCTCCTTTGATGATAGAAGATTGCTTCTCTCTCGTAGAGAGAAGGGGTAAAAATAAGTAAAAAAAAAAAAAAAAGAAGAAAGAAGAACTTATAACAATAAGATAAAAAATAAAATATTAACATGCGTTGAATCTAAGCCATTAATAACAATATTAAATGTTTTTAATAAAAATATTATTTTAAAATATTTAAAATTAGTCTTAAATATTACAATTAAACAAAATTAATTATATTTTTTATATATCGTATTAATTATTTGATATTAAAAAATAGGATCATATATGAATTGTCCATTATTCAATAGCATGATTTTGAATTCTTAAAAAAATTATAGCATTTTATTTAAATTTAGTTTAACACCATTAATTTTCAATATTTTCAACTTAATTTTCAAATTTCAATGTCATATCTATGCCAAATTTTGGAAAGAGAAGTTACAAAAACCCCTTTACGAGGAAAGATGGTAGGGTGGCAGAAAAAGGTTGTCTACCTCAAAACTTAAAGAGGTTAACAGCACTTTCAGACCACTCATTTCTACTGGGTTCGCTGAACTTTCTGCACCCTTTGCAGCTCTCAGCTCACCCATTGCACTTTTTCTTTCTTCTTTGCATTTTATCATGTACGTACACTGATTAGCTTAAATAAAGTTTCTTTACTTATACCAAAGTATGCCCCCCACTAGGGTACAGTTTTTTGTCCGTGTTTTATGCACAATTATATTATTTATTAATTATTTGATATAATATTTTAACCTATATTTATTACTAATTCTTTGCACATAGCAGGAAACTAGTCCTAAACACTTAGCATATCACTAAAGTATAAAATCTTCATTTTTGCTGCTAATTATGTTTCTATAATGAATTCTTTTTCATCATTATCTTTACTTCTTAACCGAATTAATAAGACTCATAAATATTACTTAAGTTTAAGAAACGTTTCAAGTATACATCTTGCGTACTTATATCTAAAGAGAGATAAGTAAGAGCTTATTCGTCTACCTTTAGAATCAGAAATTACAATATTACTTAGATTAAAAATGTCATTGCAAGTTGCAAAGCAGATTTATAAAAGGAACTTTTTTTATTTTTCTATAACTCTGTTGGACAAAACACCCAAATAGCCTGTAAAGAAGAGAGAGAAAAATGGTAAATGTAATATGATAAAAGAAGAAGAAGAAGAAGAAGAGACATAATAAATATTAAATAGATAATAAATAATGATATTTGTAGTTCACCACCATTAGTCAGCTGACACAGAATAATAGTTTGATATGGAATAATATTGAATTAATATTTCCCCATTGAAATAGATTTTGATATGTTGAAAGACAGAATCGTAGAAATATAGCTTAAGAGATATATATATTTTCTCCTCACATTTTCACACATGACTTGCTTATTTACAGAAGCTTTATGACTTACACACCTTAAAAGTGTCTACATAATATTCTTTGACTTTCTGCATAATTTATGTTACTTTCTAGGTTATTCTAATCATTGCCTCCATGTAATTGTATCATAATTCAAGTAAATCACTAGTTGTTCACCATAAAAAGAAAAAGTAGCTCACTAGTTAAAGCAATAGTATTATTCAATTTAATTAACCAGTCAATAAACTATATGGGATTAATGTTTGGCTAGCTTGAGTTTATTAACTACATTTTTGGTACATATGTAACACATGAGTATTACATTACATAACTTCATAATTTAGGAATTAATAATTAAAATCCATGTAGTGGATTTAACTATGTATTATATATATATATATATATATATATATAGACAGACAAGGCCTATATACTTCGTGAAGCAATAAATTATATGAAACAACTTCAAGAGCGAGTGGAAGAGCTAGAGAATCAAAACAAGAGAAGAAGAACAGATTCAGTAATATGTATAAAGAAATCCAAGGTTAGTGCAAAAGAGGAATCCACGTCGTGTGAAAGAAACTTTGATAGTGGATATCGATCTCCAACGCCATTACCTCAAGTTGAAGCAAGAGTCTTGGAAAAGGAAGTTCTCATTGGAATCCACTGTGAGAAACAAAAGGATATTGTGCTCAAAATCATGGCCTTGCTTCAAAATCTTCATCTTTCTCTTGCTAGCAGTAGTGTATTGCCATTTGGAACCTCCACTCTCAAAGTTACAATCATTGCTCAGGTAATATGACAACATTTTCCAAATCATCATGTCAATCAACATTTTCATCAAAACTTAACCACATATATAGGAAAATCAAAATATGTGTGTGTATATATAGTGTTAGTATAATATGTTATTTGTTAAAATAAACTTTTAAAATCTATACTGACAAATTATTTTTTGTTAAATAAAGACTATGTAATAAAAGTTATCCTATTTGTTAGTAAATGATAATGTTTTGATACTATCATTCAGTCATAAATTATCATGTAATTAAAAATTATAAACTTTTACAATAATCATATATAAAGTGTTTTATGATTAATTAATGCAAAAAAATTACTAATAGTGAATCAAAATTAATTTTATTTCCTACATATACAATGCATGATAATTTTATATATATTCTAAACTACTTCAGCTATGATGCAGATGGACGATAAATACTGCCTTACAGTGAATGATTTAGTAAAAAGCCTAAGGAAAGATCTCTTAAAGTCACATGGCATTCAAAAATAATATTCCTAAGAGAGGTTTGCAGAATTTTAGTTTGGCTTCTTTCAATAAGATAACATTATGAGGATTTGTTTGTAATGAAATTTAATCTCATAATGTATTGAGGTATGCCCAACTTCTTAATTGTGAGTAAAATTAATCTATTTGTAGATGGACTTCAATTCAAATTAAGAGAATCAAAATGACTAAGGATTTTGTAAACGCCTTTGTTGTTCCTAACTATTCATTATCAAATTAGTCTCATGAAATGTATATCATTCATTAAATAAACCTTCGAGACTTGTGACATTAATAGGGACTACAAAAGTCAATTAAAAAATTACCACCTTCGAATATGTTTATATTCATTTGTAATTTAGTCATTTGACAAATTTAGTAGATAACCAATAGAAATTCATTCAAATCTTATTAGTTTTTCATGCTGTCAACTATTTTGACTCTAACAAAGTTAATGAATCTAAGAAAAGAATTATCAATAATTATTGTGATAAAGCTTCCCTCTTGTGTTTCTCATAATTAACAATAGAAATTTGACATCAATTTCATAAATTAACTTAATTACATTTTTTTACCCCTCTAATTTTATTAATTAAGTTTCTTTACTTCTAAAATTTAACAAATTTGGACACATTGATTTTCTTTTCTAAAACTTGTGAATTCTTTTTTTTTTTTCCTTAAAAATTTATAAATTAAATTGATTAAATTATCTTTTATTCTAACTCACGGACTTGACAAATTTTACTCATAATAATAAATTAAAATAATTATCTTCAAACCCACTCTCATATCTTATAAGATTCTTCAAGTTTTATTCGGTTCACTAAATTTCCTCGTTTTAAAATTTTTTCATCCTTCAATTTTATTTCAACCCCCAAAACTTTAGATTAAAAATAAATATTTGAGAGTTTTATGTAAAAAAAAAATGACAAGAAATAGTTTTATTCAATTTTAAAAATAAAGAGAACTAACTTAAAATGAACTGGACAAACAAAAATCAAATATAATTCAACTTAAAGAGACTAAAAATATAATTAAGCTTAATAAATTCTATAATGCCTAAATGAAGTACGGTAATATTTTCTTTGGATATAATCATGTTTTCTTTTTCAATATGTATATTGTTAGGGTCTAAAATCTTTTATATTGGTAATCAAAGGTTTGATATTGAGTATTAAAATGGTTAAGGAAGCATATTGAAAATATTGTCAATTTAATTTATTATATAAAGATGTTTTGATTTTGTATTGAATTTTAACGTACAAATTTTTAGACTAACATAAGAAAAATCATGTGAAGATGTCATCTTTACCAAATGCAAGTAAAATAAAAATAACTAAAAAATTCAGAAAAGATAAATAATAAATTGCTAAAAAGTGAAGGAAAATCAGAGCGAGTTTCGAATTTGGATGGGGAAAAGATAATCCGAAGGATGAATTATTAACATTATCTAAAATTTAAGAAAAAAATAAGACAGATATTTTTTGAGTAAATTTTTAATTTGGTCTTTGAAATATAACGAGTCATTCAATTTAGTTAAAAAATAAAATATTAAAATTAGTTTTTGAATGTATGATTTGTAATTCATTTTAATCTCTAAAATGTTGTTTGTGAATTTAGAGGGAGAGAAAAGGAAAATGTTCTAAAGATAAAGAAAGAGAGGAAAAAAGAAAAGAAAAGTTAATACAAACCTCTTAAAATTAAGAGAATTTAAAAGCATAGGATTAAGAGAGTTATAGATAATTTATAAATCCTTTCCCTCTCATTCTTTCAAATAATAATAATTACCACATATATTATTCTTTTCTCTTCTAAAAAAATCAACTCTTAAACAAAGTTTCATCAAGCTTTCATTTATTCATTGAATATTGAACTTAGTTCCGTGCACCATTCATTCTAATTACTTGAAAAAAACTTTTAATTTCGTCCCTAAAAAATTATTACAATTAGTTCTTACATGTGTAGTTTACCATTTCGTGTAAAATTAATTAGCTGCCTCTCATAGTGATTGAAAATATGAAACATTAAATATAATGTAACATGCTATTAAGTTTTTTTATTTACATTGCATTAATAAAGTTTAAGTATAACATATTTAAAATTAAAATTTTATAATTTTTAATAATAAAAATCAGAAATATAAAATAGAAAGTTAAATTTTATATTTTACTTAAAAAATCAATACAATCTATATTATAGTTCATGGTCTTATTGGAATATTTTATGTACTTATCACTTTAATAAATATAAATTAATATTATTGAAATGTCTTAAATCATAAAATTTCTAATCAATAAAAATAATTTGGAATCATATTAAAAAAAAGGTTATTATTCTATTTAAAATTTTAGGTTCATCGTAAGTCAATATTTAAACTAAGTTGAATATTATAACTTGCAACACTAACATTCGACGTTTGACGACGTGTATATATATATATATATCTTAAAATAATTGTCCCCCAAGCTAAAAGATCTCCATGTTCTCTTAGTTTAAGAGAAAAAGATGAAGTAGGGAAAGTGACGTTGTTAGAGAGTAATAAGGTGATGCTTATGGGGTTGATATTGAGAGAAGGGGACAAGTGAGAGAGTTGCTTGTGCCTATAAGAATGTCTTGGGAGAAAAAAAAAAGTCATTATTGTTGCAACTCGAGTTCGAAGTTTTTCTTTGTTATGTTATATGAATCCGCTACTGTGTCGAGGTAGAGTAACTATGACATAAGGCTTAACTTGGCGTAGGGTTTATAGTCAGTGTCAGAGAGGGAATGAAAATGATGGGAAGGGAAGAGAGATGCGAAACGAGTCATTTTAGCTTTCACATGTTATTTAATCGCAGAGACTTAAATGTACTGATAAATTTGTATTTTTTAGGGACAAATTAAGTAATTAAATGACTAATGTTAATGTACATGACTGCTGTAATAATTGAGGGATTAATTTGAGAGTTTATTCTAAAAATTAAATTAAAGATAGCCTATTTTTTAGATATTAAAATAAATAATAGATCACATATTTGTAAAATAATTTTGAATATTTTATTTTTTAAGAACTAAATTAAATGAGTTTGTATTTTTTTTAGGAACTAATTTATTTTTTTATTTTTCGTTTATTGTGTAAAATGGCCTATGAGACGATAGCTTTTATGAAATCCTCTTGACATCAATACTCAGACGATGTAATAATCAATGTAAAAAAGAAGAGAGTGAGCTTAAAAAAAAAGAAAGACTATAAAATTTGTACAAAGCAAGTGAAACATCAAACTAAACTCATGTTAGATAACAAAACAATTTTAAATATAATTATTATTTAAAAAATATCCATGAAATTTTAAAAAAATAATAAAAGAAACAAAACTTTAGATTAAAAAGAAAAAATGAAAAAAGATAAAGTAAATCAACCAAAGAAAAAAGTTATTTAAATATGGTATAAAATCAGAAAAAATACAGAAATATAGTGTATTTTGCAGTTTTATCGCAATATGGCCTTGCAAAAAACATCAACGGTGATTTATATAGGAACAACACTGTGGCAGGGAGCTCAAACTGCAGGTTCAGGTGGCACAGGCTTTTCTAAAACAATCATTGGCGATTTTGACCCTGATCAAGGCTTTGCAAAAGTTATCACATGTTATCAAGGCTATGTAAACTCACCAAGGGCGAGATTTGACCACTATTCATGTTGTCATGTAAAGAAATAGAGTTAGGAAGACTTCTAAAACTTTGTAAACTCACCAATGGCAAGTTTTGATCTTTGTTAATCACGCCATGTAGAGTTAGTACTGTAGCGAGGAAGATCCTATAAATTGCCAATGATGATTTTTCCTTTATATATATGTCTTCCAAACCTGTTGCTGCATGTGTGAAAGGGGAACCAAAAAAATTAAAGAAGAAGAAGAAGCTTGTTGGAGAAGAAGAAGGCTGAGAGAGAGAGAAAGAGAGAGAGAGAGAGCCATGCAAGGAAATAGAGTTAGGAAGACCTCTAAAACTCTGTAAACTCACCAATGGCAAGTTTTGACCTTTATCAATCAAGCCATGTAGAGTACTGTAGCAAGAAAGATCTTATAAATTGCTAATGATAATTTTTCCTCTATATATATGTCTTCCAAACCTGTTGCTGCATGCGCGGAAGGGGAACGAAAAAATTGAATAAGAAGAAGAAGAAGCTTGTTGGAGAAGAATAAGGTTGTGAGTGAAAGAGAGAATGAGAGAAAGAGAGTAGGAAACCAGAAAAAGAAATAAATAGAAAATAAAAAAATTAATATTTAAAAGCTCAGAATTTTAGAAGAAATGGTTAAAGATTCAACCATTGATTCAAAGAAACATATCTCTGATTAAATTTATAATTTAAATATAAGTTTTTTTATTTTATTTAATATTTTTAATATATATTTTAATTAAAATTAAAAAATTTCATTAAATAAAATATAATGTTAGTAATATATAGTAATTGAGTAATTTTTGTGAATAATAGTTAATTCTAGACTAAAGATAATATAATAATAAATTATGAAATTTTAATTATAATTTAAATTATTACAGTTATTAAAATAATTTTTTTTAATTTATGTTAAGAAAAAGCATATAATAATGTATATTGTGTAATTTTTATTTTGAAATATGTAATCGTTAATTTATTATGTTAATTTTAAATTTTTTTATATATATGATGTGAATTACATTATATCATAATGTAATTTTGTTGTGAAATTAGTTAAGTTAATTTAATAAAAAATTAGTTAGGTTTATTTTAGAATAAGTTAGATTAATTTATAATGAATTAATTATTTAGCAATTACTAACTTGTATGCAGAAAATATTTTAATAAAATATGAGAATTAATTTAAAATAATTAATAATAATATGGTTGAGTATTTGGATTAAATATCTACATTCTCTAATAATTATTTATTATATTTTAAATAGTTATAATTTGAACATAAATTATTATGAATTTGCTTTAAATTTATTAGTCATGTTTAGTGTTAATAATGGTTTAATGTTAAAATTTTTGTTAATTATATTATTATAATGAATTTTGATTTTATA